GCATCCATTCCTGATCAGAGTGTAGGGATAGAGGGAACTTTCCTCGACATCTTAAAAGCCATCTACGAAAAGCCCAGGGCAAATATCATTCTCAATGGGGAAGCACTGGGAGCCTTTCCCCTAAGATCAGGAACAAGACAGGGATGTCCACTCTCACCACTGCTATTCAACATAGTATTGGAAGCCCTAGCCTCAGCAATCAGACAACAAAAAGACATTAAAGGCATTCAAATTGGCAAAGAAGTCAAACTCTCCCTCTTTGCCAATGACATGATACTCTACATAGAAAACCCAAAAGCCTCCACCCCAAGATTGCTAGAACTCATACAGCAATTTGGTAGCGTGGCAGGATACAAAATCAATGCCCAGAAATCAATGGCATTTCCATACACTAACAATGAGACTGAAGAAAGAGAAATGAAGGAGTCAATCCCATTTACAGTTGCACCCAAAAGCATAAGGAACCTAGGAATAAACCTAACCAAAGAGGTAAAGGATCTATACCCTAAAAACTATAGAACACTTCTGAAAGAAATTGAGGAAGACACAAAGAGATGGAAAAATATTCCATGCTCATGGATTGGCAGAATTAATATTGTGAAAATGTCAATGTTACCCAGGGCAATTTACACGTTTAATGCAATCCCTATCAAAATACCATGGACTTTCTTCAGAGAGTTAGAACAAATTATTTTAAGATTTGTGTGGAATCAGAAAAGACCCCGAATAGCCAGGGGAATTTTAAAAAAGAAAACCATACCTGGGGGCATCACAATGCCAGATTTCAGGTTGTACTACAAAGCTGTGGTCATCAAGACAGTGTAGTACTGGCACAAAAACAGACACATAGATCAATGGAACAGAATAGAGAACCCAGAAGTGGACCCTGAACTTTATGGTCAACTAATATTCGATAAAGGAGGAAAGACTATCCATTGGAAGAAAGACAGTCTCTTCAATAAATGGTGCTGGGAAAATTGGACATCCACATGCAGAAGAATGAAACTAGACCACTCTCTTACACCATACACAAAGATAAACTCAAAATGGATGAAAGATCTAAATGTGAGACAAGATTCCATCAAAATCCTAGAGGAGAACACAGGCAACACCCTTTTTGAACTTGGCCACAGTAACTTCTTGCAAGAGACATCCACGAAGGCAAAAGAAACAAAAGCAAAAATGAACTATTGGGACTTCATCAAGATAAGAAGCTTTTGCACAGCAAAGGATACAGTCAACAAAACTAAAAGACAACCTACAGAATGGGAGAAGATATTTGCAAATAACATATCAGATAAAGGGCTAGTTTCCAAAATCTATAAAGAACTTATTAAACTCAACAGCATGGGGATCCCTGGGTGGCGCAGCAGTTTGGCGCCTGCCTTTGGCCCGGGGCGGGATCCTGGAGACCCGGGATCGAATCCCACGTCGGGCTCCCGGTGCATGGAGCCTGCTTCTCCCTCTGCCTGTGTCTCTGTCTCTCTCTCTCTCTCTCTCTCTCTCTCTCTCTCTGTGACTATCGTAAGTAAAAAATAAAAATAAATAAAAATAAACTCAACAGCAAAGAAACAAACAATCCAATCATGAAATGGGCAAAGGACATGAAGAGAAATCTCACAGAGGAAGACATAGACATGGCCAACATGCACATGAGAAAATGCTCTGCATCACTTGCCATCAGGGAAATACAAATCAAAACCACAATGAGATACCACCTCACACCAGTGAGAATGGGGAAAATTAACAAGGCAGGAAACAACAAATGTTGGAGAGGATGCGGAGAAAAGGCATTCTTACACTGTTGGTGGGAATGTGAACTGGTGCAGCCACTCTGGAAAACTGTGTGGAGGTTCCTCAAAGAGTTAAAAATAGACCTGCCCTATGACCCAGCAATTGCACTGTTAGGGATTTGCCCCAAAGATTCAGATGCAATGAAACGCCTACACCCCGATGTTTCTAAAGCCATGTCCACAATAGCCAAACTGTGGAAGGAGCCTCGGTGTCCATCGAAAGATGAATGGATAAAGAAGATGTGGTTTATGTATACAATGGAATATTACTCAGCCATTAGAAACGACAAATACCCACCATTTGCTTCAACGTGGATGGAACTGGAGGGTATTATGCTGAGTGAAGTAAGTCAATCGGAGAAAGACAAACAGTGTATGTTCTCATTCATTTGGGGAATATGAATAATAGTGAAAGGGAATATAAGGGAAGGGAGAAGAAATGTGTGGGAAATATCAGAAAGGGACACAGAACATAAAGACTCCTAACTCTGGGAAATGAACTAGGGGTGGTGGAGGGGGAGGAGGGCGGGGGGTGGGGGTGAATGGGTGACGGGCAGTGAGGGGGACACTTGACGGGATGAGCACTGGGTGTTATTCTGTATGTTGGTAAATTGAACACCAATAAAAATTAATTTATTAAAAAAATGAAAAAAAAATACCATACTGTTCTGATTACCATAGCTGCATTAGGTAGAATTCTAAGAAGGCCCCCATGATATACATTCCCTGCTATTACTCCTGTGATAATGTTATAATACCTGGCAAAAGAGATTTTGTGCATGTATTTAAAGTGACAAATCAGAGCCCTTAAGATAGTTTAATTGGGCCCTTTAATCTAAAATAAGCCCTTTAAAAACAATGTTTTCTCTGACTACCAGCAAAAAAGAAAAAAAAAAAAGAAGTCTGAGAGATGTGTTGTAGCTGGCCTGAAAGAAAGCAAACATACATATTGTGAATTGCCTGTGGGGGTCATTTGGAAAATATCTGAGAGTGGTCTCCAGCTGACAACCAGTAAGAAGGAAAAAGGGACTTCTGTCTTGCAACACAAGGAACTGAAATCTGCCAACAAGAATGAGCTTGGAAGTAGATTTTTCTCCAGATGCACCAAATGAGAACTCAGGCCAGCGAACATCTTGATTTAGCCAAAGGGGCCAGGTGACTGCAGTGGGATATCCACGATTGCTGAGGAGTCAGTCCTAGGAGGAGTAGTCCTAGCTACAGCTAAGCAGTTCCATATTTTGATAATGTTTGTTTTGTTTTGTTTCAGCTCTATTCTGTGGGGTGGGAGTTGGGCAGAAAGCCCTATACTTCACCAGAACCTGGATGATGATGAGAAACTACCACAAAATAGTCTCCCAAGGTCTCACATAAAGAGGCAAGTGGGAGATGGTCTTGTAGCAGCTCCTTAATAGTCTTCAATTCTCTCATATTTTGGAAGAATCTTAAGACATTCTGCCAAGACTCAAATAAGCTATATTTCAAGCCTTTGCCTTCATGGGTGCATGCAAGATGGCCATGTTGCCATAGTGTGCTATTCCCTACAACTCCACCCTCTGACCTTTTAGCATCCAGCTAAGAATTCTCAGGATTGCAGACTACCTCATGGACTACTCTAATTAGTTTTTACAGATAGGGGCTTTGACCAAATATGTTCCATTGTCTTAAGCAACATAGTGACCACAAGTACAACTTCCAATCTGGAGCCAAGTCAACTAATTATGTCCCAGGTGCTATCAGGATCAACCTTAAGGACCCATATTACTTTCTAAGGTGAAAATGGATTGCTCTGCTTTTCCTTATTCATTGATCCACTGTAGCAAAAAATGTTAGAAATTGCCCATGTATTGTTTGTACTGGCCAGCAGGGAGTCCAGGGTAATACAATGGTCATTACCACTCATCTTAGAGAGTTTAGAGCCATCAGTAGTCTGAAAGACAAGAGTCTGAGAATAGGTTAAAGAAAATAGGTTAAAGAAAATCGTATTAGTCATGAATTATAGTGTCCAGAATGTAGCCTTGTTCTGTCATCTTAAGCAGGAGCTCTTACATTCTGAAGTCAGTAGTTGTTGGAAGGTTTATCACTTGTTGGTCAACAGTTAAGTTGAGATGATGGTGGCAGTTTGGGATAAATTGGCCAGATGCCAGGCAGGGATAAGATCTGAGAGAGATCATGGGTCCCTACCTCTACCCAGACTTCAAAGGGTCTAAAGTGCTCTCTACCTAATAAGAGTTGCTCCTTTTCTTCTGCAACCTTATGATTGCCCCCTGCCCCAGTCTCTGCAGCAATAACTTTACTCTCTTTCCAACCTCCCCCACGTCTCACTGACATCATATGATATAACTGGTCCCTGGGTCCCTCTGAAGTTTCTTTCTATAACCTGGACCATCCTAAAACTACTTCCACTCCCTGATACGTATGCCATGCCAACATTACCTTAGGAATCATCACCTCATATTCATGATCATTGTCATCAATATCCAAAATTGCCAAATCCAGCAAGGACAACCAGGAGACAAAAGAAGTACTAGGTTAGAGTTTCCCAATTTCCTGTTCTCCAGGGGTAAGTGTGGGAGGAAAAAAAATGTAGAGTGAGAAGTTAATTATGTAGATTGGGTTTCTTACAGCCTGCTCGGCCTCTTGCTTCCTCTTCCTCATAACTGAACATTTTATTTATTTATTTATTTATTTAAACTTCAATTAGCCAACATATAGTTAGTTCATTAACTATAGGGTATATTAGGGTATAATAGGGTATAGGGTTCATAAACATTATATTTAAACAAAAGATAGCATTTTGGGGAAATTGCCACATTTAGAGCCCAAACTGCCTGTCTTAAGTGTGTGCTGCATTGGCATTGGGGCTTGGTTGTCCAATTTTGCTTTCCAATTTCTCTCAAGAGTCCATTCCATCTTTCAGTGACACTTGCTGCATAGCTATGACATGGCCATGAAAGTTCCAATGAACATCCCAGGTAGCTGCCTACTAACGCATTTTTTTGTTTTTTGTTTTTTTGATTCGCGGGAGAGAGTGGAGCGGCAGCGGGTCGCGGGCAGACGCCTGGGGAGGATTACTCGGGTCGAACGCTCTCTGGGGTCTTTCATGTTTTGGACTACATTGTCCAGAGGCCTCCGGGCGTAACGTCACTTCCTTCTAAGGCGGGCCGCGCGGTTGTGCTGGAGCAAGCTGCGCTGCGCCCCAGCGGAGAAAGCGCTGTCTGTTGCTTGGTTCCCGGTACCGCGGGACGCGAGCCTGACGCGGGGGAGGCTGAAGGTGAGGCGTGTCCTAGCCCGGGAGCCAGGCCGGCGGTGTGTGGAGCCTCAGGCTTTAACGCCGTCTCGTGTGTGTGTGTGTGTGTGTGTGTGTGTGTGTGTGTGTGTGTGTGTGTGACGTAACGTGCCTGTGGGACTACATGGTTATGTGTGACCACATGAAGGAGTGGTAATTGTGCCTCCAGCTGGGACAGTGCTTGTGAGGTTGACTCCTCCCTTAATTATGTCAATGACTTTTTTCGAGTCTGTCTGTGTCTAGCCGACGGTGTCTAGCGGGAGCCTGTGGGCGGAGGGGCGGCGATGATAGGGAAATGGACACCCTGAGGGCATTTGTCGGTTGGAGGGTTCCTGGAAGCTTGTGGTTGTGGGGTCTCTCTGGCTGGCTGCGTGGCGGAAACCCAGATTGGGCTAGAGACGAATTTTGCCTGGAAAGGAATCAAATTCCCTTTGAGAGAGGCCGGCCACTTGGGGAGAAGACAGGCTCTTGGCCAAAGGGCCAAATCAGGTTTCTTCCTGGCCAGAGATGGTGGCCCAGAGATTTTGATTCTTACTTTTAATTTATTGTTTTGTTATTTTTGGCCCAGTTTCTTTAAAGATTTTATTTATTCATGAAAGAGGGAGAGAGCGCAAGAGGCAGAGACACAGGCAGAGGGAGAAGCAGGCTCCATGCAGGGAGCCCGACGTGGGACTTGATCCCGGGTCTCCAGGATCATGCCCGGGCTGAAGGCAGCGCTAAACCACTGAGCCACCCGGCTGCCCTGGCCCAGAGATTTTTTTTTTTACATTTTTATTTATTTATGATAGTTACAGAGAGAGAGAGAGAGAGAGAGAGAGAGAGAGAGAGAGAGGTGGGGGGGGGCAGGGCAGAGACACAGGCAGAGGGAGAAGCAGGCTCCATGCACCGGGAGCCCGACGTGGGATTCGATCCACGGTCTCCAGGATCGTGCCCTGGGCCAAAGGCAGGCACCCAACTGCTGCGCCACCCAGGGATCCCTGGCCCAGAGATTTTTAAAAGGGGTTTAATCAGTTAAGGGAGAGCCGAGGTCTGTGACATTTCTTGATCATATGCAGACTTGATGCTGCCTATAGAGTTATCTCGGTCCTTGCACGTTGTGCAAGAAATTCTAGTTCCTTAGTGCTCGGGGTTTCTGTGGGTTGTGCAAGAGTACTCTGTTCTTTTCCAAAAGGAGGGCAAAGTCTACAAACGGGCAGAGGGAGGTCAGTAAAATCCTTGTGTGACCTTAAAAAGGGAAAACATTTTGCTAAAAGATTGTTGGGCAAGCAGAAAGCTAAAGGGACTTCAGACAGGCTTGCTGGCCTCAGTGGCCTGGGGAAGTTCTGCTCTTTTATTCCTGAAGACCAGTGGCCTGCATATCTCAAAGAAAGCAAACTAGTCCTGTCACAGATCGAGGGACTTAAGTTAGCAAGCTAGGACTGTGTTAACTTGAAGTGAGTTAACTCATAAGACTGGCTGGAGTGTTGTTACAACTGCCCCTTCTCCTAGTAGCCACGCGGGGGTGGGAGTGGGAGTGGGGGGCGGCAAGTTCCTGGAAATGTCTGATGTGGGAAGATAGAAAGGTGAGTCCCAGATTAAAGATTCTGGATAAATTTATCTCCAAGTCACAAACCTGATTTCAGATTGAGACTCTAAGAGCCAAAAACAGTCCCAAGTTGGTGGGAGAGGCTGAGAAAAGGGAGGAAAAAAGCTGGGGTTTTAAGATTCTAATCTGTTGTCTCAGGAAATCACCTGGGGAGACCTGTGGGGATGCTTCACTTTCGCGCTGGTTCTCAGAGAGGGCAACATTGCTCAGATCTCTCTCTGACCTTCCTCAAAATGTTTATTTAGTTTGAGGAGTGGTTGGGGTGGAAGTAATTGCTTGTTTCTAGCAAGTCAGTCTGGGCTCAAAGAAAGGCGTGGTGTCTCAGGATTCTTTCCCCTTACCAGTTAATGGACTTGTCTTATACAGATGACCAGAGACTAAGGGAATAGCTGCTGTCGGACAACTGAGAGTTCTGTCCAAGGTAAGTTGTTATTTTTTATTTTGTATCTCAAGTATTTTCTGGTTTTTCATGATATGGAAACATTTACTTTCTTCTTTTTGAAATTCCTTAACAAGGATCCTTTAGTGTTCTGGTCTTTGGGCCTGGCTATTCCAAAGAATAATGGGGTCAGAAGGAATGGACCCAAAGAGGTTATTCCACTCCATTTTGCTCCCTTTGACCTGAGGTACACATATTCACCTGGCAAATACTTCAATTCCATTTTTATACTTAGTCTTTTTCTAAGATTTTTGAAGGAATGGAATGCATCTCTGAGAGTGAAATTTGAAAGCCTTGATTTTTAGTATTTTGTTTTCAATTTTATTGCTTAAGAGATAAGTATTTAAAAGGTTCATAAAAGTATACAGTGAATTCTCCTCCCTGGCTCTACCACTAGTCATGAACTTTTCCTACTTAGAAGGCAACCAGTGTGCCTAGTTTCTTGAGTACTTCCAAGGGAATTGTATACATCTATTAGTACATGAAGGACTTCACTTTATGGCTGCACACATATTACATAATTCCCTAATTTTAAGAACTAACTCTTATTAATGCACTTTCAGATGGCTATCAGTCTTTGGCTGTTAATAAACAATGGTGGGATAAATATCCTTGAATATATGTAATTTAGCACATCAGAGATTTTGTTTGTAGAATAAATGCTAGTTTCTCAGACATTTATGTAGACTTTAAATTTTAATAGTTTTTGCTATTTTGTCCCTTGTATTAGCACTTTTCTAACCAGTATTTTCTGATTTTATGTTTCATTCAAGGTATTTTGCTGGTTGTTGGAAAATTTAAGGAAATTATTAATATGCTGTTATAGGATTTTTCAAGCTATGGGGTTGTTACCTGATTTTTGTGTGTGTGATAAAATCAATTTACTAAGCCCTGATTAACATTTTCTTTAACTCTTCATTGTAAAAAATTCAAACATGTACAAAAATGGACAACATAGCAATGAACCTCTATGTATCACTTTGCTCAGCTTTAATATTGATTGACTTATGACCAATCTTGTTTAATCTGTATCTCTACCTACCTAGGATTATTTTGAAACACATATCAGAAGTTGTATCATTCCATCCATAAATGTGTATGTAAATGATAGTCTTTAAAAAACTTAATCAAATACCCTTATTTTCCCTAAAAAAAAAAAAAATCCTTAATATCAGATTTCCAGCTAAAGTTAATGTTTCCCCACAGGGCAAATAACTTTGTTTTTAATTTTAAGATTTCTTTGAATCTGGGCTCAAAGAAGGTCCATGCATAAGTCTTTTAATAAAGTCTTTTTTAAAATCTATAGTTTCTCATTTTATTTATTTATTTATTTATTTATTTATTTATTTATTTATTTATTTATTTATTTATTTATTTATTTATTTATTTATTTATTTGAGAGAGCATGTAATTGGGGCAGGGACAAAGGGAGAAGGAGACAGAATCTGAAGCAGACTCCCTGCTGAGTTTGGATCCCAATGCTGGGCTTGATTCCACGACCACCAGATCATGACCTGAGCTGAAAACAAGTGTCAGACACCCAATGACTGAGCCACCCAAGTGCCTCTCATTCTTATTCTTTCCCTCTTTCCTTGCAATGTATTTGTTGAAGAAGCTGGGTGATTTGTCCAGTAAAGTTTCCCACAGTCTGTCATCATTAACATGTTTTTCTGTATTTCTCTAGTTAGAAGTTAGATCTAGAGACTTGATCAGGTTTAGGTATCTTCCCTCCATTCCCTGCCTTCCCCCTTTTTTTGGGCAAAATCACTTCAGTGATGCTAATGTATACTTCTATGAAGAGGCACATAATGTCTGCTTACCTCTTCTTGTGATATTTTCTATTATTATTTAATTAGAGATTGCTAAATACAGTCTAATTAATTATATCTTTATTCTTTAATGGAGTAATTATGTAAAGTGAAAAGCCTCTGTATGAACTAATTGGTTCTCTTGAGGTACAGATTACTTAGGGAAGCAGGAAAGTTTTTTTCTCCTAACTTACCAGTTTTCAAAATAAGGAAATAATGAACCATAATGAAATGATGGTTTGCTAGCATTCTCTCCTGGGGACCAGTGATTGTTATTTTTTATTGTTAAGATTAACAGATTGTTATACCTGTCATTATAAAGGTATGGATTTTGATACATTTACATGTTTCAATCTATTGCGGTTGTTTTATTTATGTATACTTAAATTAGTATTGTGCCATATTTGACTATTTGGAGCCTATTTAGTTAGGTTGGCTCATGGGTCCTTTTGAATTGATCTTAGTAGTCTTTGCTAGCTTTCTTGATTTTTGGTAGATCTCAGTCAGGGGTTGACTAACTTTCTGCAAAGGGGGATCTAGTTAGTGTTTTAGGTTTATGCGTCATACATTCTGGTTGCAACTACTCAAGTTTGTTGTAGAGTGAAAGCAGCCCTATATAATACATAAGCGAAAGGACATGGCTAAGTTCCAATGAAACTTTGTTTCCAAAATCAACCAAAAGTGTAAGGAATAGGGGCAGAGGTTAAAAGGTGAAATTCAGTGTCTGATACAGTGAAGGCTAATAGAGACGATTTCATTTTCACAGGGGGTAGGTGCCAGCTGCAATTTTTAATCAAACACTGCCCACATACATACCTTCTAAACACACTCTCAATGAAATCAAATCTTCTGTAACACCCATGAAAGAGAGATGCTATTACTTTGTTTCCAAGCAGTTTTCAGATTTCTAGTAACATTTCAAATCAAAACCTTGCCTTTTATGTGAAAAGGTCTCTTACAGACTTGATAGCTTGTTAGGGAAAAATAAATGAATAGATGGAATTTATTGGGGTTAAATTTGAGAGAAAAGGAAAAATAGAAAACTCGTATTAATATGTGTTATTTTATTCTTAAGCATTTTTACCCTTGTTTCTGAGGTCATTGGTTTAATAATGCCCCAAATAGGACTTTTCCCATGGCAGGGATCTAGAGTACTTGAATTGTATTGAATTAAATTTAACTGAAATAGATTGTAATCAGCAAAGAAAAAGTCAAATTTTCACTCTTTGCAGATGACATGATACTCTACATAGAAAACTTAAGACTCCACCAAAAAATTGCTAGAACTGATGTAAGAATTCAGCAAAGTTTCAGGATATAAAATCAAGACACAGAAGTCTGTTGTGTTTCTATACACTAACAATGAAGTAGCAGAAAGGGAAATCAAGGAATAGATCTTATTTACAATTACACCAAAACCCACAAGATACCAAGAAATAAGCCTAACCAAAGAGGTAAAAGAGTTGTACTCTGAAAACTATGGAACACTTATGAGAGAAACTGAGGAAGACACAAAGAAGTGGAAAAACATTCCATGAATTGTAATAACAAATATTGTTAAAATGTATATTCTACCAAAAACAGCCTATACATTTACTACAATTTCTATTAAAATATCATCAGCCTTATTCACAGAGCTGGAACAAAGCTAAAATTTGTATGGAAGCATAAAAGACCCTGAATAGCCAAAACAACCTTGAAAAAGCAAAGCAAAGCTGGAGGCATCATAATCCTAGACGTCAAATTATATTACAAAGCTGTAATGATCAAGACAATATGGTACTGGCACCAAAACAGACACATTGATCAATGGAGCAGAATAGGAAACCTAGAAATGAACCCTCAACTCTGTGGTCAACTAATCTTTGACAAAGCAGGAAAGAATATCCAATGGAAAAGTACCCCATTTGTTAGTCTCTAACAAATGGTATTGGGAAAACCGGACAGCAACATGCAAAAGAATGAAACTGAATCTCTTTTTTACACCATACACAAAAATAAATTCAAAATGGATGAAAGACATAAATACAAGGCAGGAATCCATCAAAATCCTAGAGGAGAACACAGTAAACTTTTGTTCATTGGCTGTAGTAATTTCTTACTAGATGAGGCAAAGGAAACAAAAGCATAAATGAACTATTGGGACTTCATCAAAATAAAACTTCCTCACAGCAAAGGAAACAATCAGCAAAAGTAAAAGGCAGCGTATAGAATGGGAGAAGATATTTGCAAATGACATATCTGATAAAGAATTAGTGTCCAAAATCTATGAAGAACTTATCAAACTCAACCCTCCCCCCAAAAAAAATCCAGTTAAAGAAATGGGCAGAAAACATGAATAGACACTTTTCCAAAGAAGACATCCAGATGGCTAACAGACACATGAAAAGACGCTCAACATCACTCATCAGGGAAATACAAATCAAAACTACAATGAGATAATCACCTCGTACTAGTCAGAATGGCTAAAATCAACAACTCAAGAAACAACAGATGTTGGGCAAGGATATGATAAAAGGGGAACCCCCTTACCCTGTTGGTGGGAATGCAAACTGGTGTAGCCACTCTGGAAAAGAGTATGGAGGTTCCTCAAGAAGTTAAAAATAGAGCTACCCTATGACCCAGTAATTGCAGTACTAGGTATTTACCCAAAGGATACAAAAAAATACTGATTCAAAGAAAGGGATACATGCATCCCAATGTTTTTAGCAGCATTACAACAATAACCAAATTATGGAAAGAGCCCAAATGTCCATTGAGTGACAAATGGGTAAGGAAGATGTGGTATATATATATGCAATGGAATATTACTCATTCATAAAAATAAATGAAGCCTTGCCATTTGCAATGACATGGATGGAGCTAGACAGTATTAGGCTAACTGAAATAAGTCAGTCAAAGAAAGACAAATGCCATATGATTTCACTCATATGTAGAATTTGAGAAACAAAACATTGATGAACATAGGGGGAAAAATGAAAAAGAAGAGCTAACCAGAAAACAATGCTAATTCTAGAGAACAAACTGATTATGATTGAAGAGAAAGTAGGTGGGGGGATGGGTTGGGTTAAATGGATGATGGGTATTAAGGAAGGCACTTGTTGTGATGAGCACCAGGTATTGTATGTGAATTTTTTAAAAAGATTTTATTTATTCATTCATGATAGGGAGAGA